TTTTTTGAGATGAAGTTTTGCTCTTGTTGCCCAGGCTGGAGTGCAATGGCATGACCTCGACTCACTGCAACCTCTGCCTCCTGGGTTTAAGTGATTCTCCTGCCTCAGTCTCTTGAGTAGCTGGGATTACATACATGTGCCACCATGCCCGGCTAATTTTGTATTTTTAGTAGAGATGCGGTTTCTCCACATTGGTTAGGCTGGTCTCAAACTCCCGACCTCAGGTGATCCGCCTGCCTCAGCCTCTCAAAGTTCTGAGATTACAGGTGTGAGCCACTGTGCCCAGCCTTATTCCTTGCATTTTAAGATTAAGCAAATGAGTAAATGTATTGATGATGTAAGCCAGATCTCTTAACTATATAGTTCTTTAGAAATATATACTGAATTATTATATAGCAAAGGGGCATGATAGAAAGCAGAGTTCCTCAGAATGGCCTCTTTAAATCTAAATTATCTTTAGTGAATGGTGACACTTTCCTAGTAAGGCATAGGGATTAGAATCATAATGAGTACACATGGGGCCTACTTAACAGGGTGTTAAGTGTAATGAGCTTTTGGTTCCTGTGTTTAACACAAAATAGACACAAATGAGATTTCTTCTTCTACTGAAATACTTCTCAGTGATGTAGGGTGTTACATCAGTGCTATATACCATCTATATATTCAGACTGTGGTCTGAATGACCTGGTATGCTTCTAGATAAACCAGAAAGATGGCAGCAAGTCACGGTCAAAGTATCAAGACTAAAAGTTCATGTCACAAAATACTAGAATGACCACAAGTCTTGTAAGAGGTGATTGGCCAGAAATAGAAACAAATAATGAGTTACTTTAAGAACCCAAGTAAACCAAATAAGCTCAGGGAGTGTTCAGTGACAGCAAGCAGAGCCTAACAGTTACTGAGAGCCTCACCCATGGCAAGGCTGCCAGACAAACAGCTTTGAGCACATACAGCTCAGTCTATGCACAAAAGCAACCAAAGGGAAAACACATTGTCAGAAACTAAAACAAAGAACACAAAAGGTCAAAAAATCAAAAGGCACAAATCCTTTACATAAGAGACAAGGAGACACAACAGTGAAGAAATTCACTGTATAGTTTGGTGAGGGGGAAAAAGTAAAATGTTTTACTGCTAGAGAGCAGTTTCATGATGTTTTTGCTAATAAAGTTTTGAAAACTAGCATTCTGGATAGGATAAAATGAGTTTGTAGGGACAGACAGAGGTGAGTATAAAGACTCCAGTGTTCATTAGTTAGGCAGAAGTCTCCAATCAGGCGCAGCAGGGTCTGGGGCCAAGGAGGTTATTTCTTAGCATCAATTGGATAGATCTAGTTGCGATGAAAGGCAACATCTAGTTTTGATATTTTGTAGGCAGGTGCTGCTGTAAATGAAAAATTTGTCTTTTTACTAATTTATGAAAAGTAGAAAGAAAGGCAGATTTTGTTGTTTTGGTTTGTTGTCACAGTCCTAAAATCATGGACCACGTCTTTCTTGTTCATTGCTGAATTCATAATACTTAGTAGAGAACCTAGTACTTTGACGTTTTCTAAGAAGTCTTTGTTTACAGGTGGGCAGCCTGAAATTTATATTTGTTTTATATACTATAATTTCTTTAATAAGTATTCCATACACTTTCGCCTGCATTTGAAACCCTCCATACTGAGGGACTTTTTATGCCTATCAGACTCTTTTTTTATATAATAAGAACAGTCATGAAGGAGATTTCCACGTGTCATAGAGACCATTATCTCCAAGCAGAACAGAGTTGTGGACAGTATATACCAATGTGAATGTCTATGGCTTAGAAGATTTTAGAAGAAGGAGAAGGCTAAGTATAATTAAAGTTATTTACAGAACAGAATACTCACTTGAGAGGTTCCTGGTCCCAAGATGTTTTTGTTGTGGATTTTTTGGATTGCAATAGAAAATGTGATGGAATGTAAAGGAATCATTGCTCAGAAGCAAATTGTGTTGTATTCATACTATCAATTACAGGCATGGCAGCAAAACATTCTCTGTCCTAAGACAAGGGAGAGGAGCCCAGCAGCCCTACTTACGGTACTCTAACTGAAAACTTTATTTCTTTAGCAGAGCCAAAGCCAGAAATCTACCCTTGTTCCTCCTGCCTTCTGGCCTTCTCTTTTCTGCAATTCCTCAGCCAACATGTGCTTCAGATCTTCCTGGGCTTACGTGCAGAAAATCACTTCCATCCAGGGAATTCTAGCCCAGGGCACTGGAAACAGCAGGGGCAGCAGTATTCCCATCAAAGCTGCTGGAATGAAAACACAGAAGATCAGGAGAGAGGAGGTGGCTCCAAACCCTGGTCTGCAAGGACAGAGGAGAGAGAAACCTCAAGGGCATTCCCCAGCCTACTCCAAAAACAGTCAGCAAGTCCTAGAGAAGGCAACATGGTGGTAGAAATAGAGCCCAGCTCAGCCCAAAGAACAAACCCTGTGCAGCCAAAGACTTGAAGGAATTAGAAACCTTGAGATTTGGAGCAATCAACTGTAGAGAGTGTGAAATAGACCATAGCCTGGAATCAAACTTTATTACAAATCCAAGAACCCTCTTAGGGGAGAAGCCCTATATTTGCAGTGATTGTGGGTGAGGCTTTAAAGATGGATCAACCCTCATCAGACACCACTGGACACACTCGATGGAGAAGCCTTATGTGTGCAGTGAATGTGGGTAAGGTTTTAGCCAGAAGTATAACCTCAACAGACCCCAGATAACACATTCAGAAGAGAAGCCTTATTTGTGCAGGGAGTGTGGGCAAAGCTTTAGAAATAAGTCCATCCTCAACAGACATCAGTGGACTCACTCAGAGGAGAAGCCCTATGTTTGCAGCGAATGTGGCCGAGGCTTTAGCGAGAAGTCATCCTTCATCAGACACCAGAGGACACACTCAGGTGAGAAACCCTATGTGTGCCTAGAGTGTGGATGAGGTTTTTGTGATAAGTCAACCCTCAGAAAACACCAGGGGATTCATTCAGGGGAGAAGCCTTATGTTTGTGGGGAGTATGGGTGAGGCTTTAGCCAGAACTCAGATCTCATCAAACACCAGAGGACACACTCAGATGAGAAGACTTATGTTTGCAGGGAGTGTGGGAGAGGCTTCTGCGACAAGTCAACCCTCATGATACACAAGCGGACGCACTCTGGAGAGAAGCCTTATGTGTGTGGTGAGTGTGGATGAGGCTTTAGTCGGAATCATTCCTCGCTGTCCACCAGAGGACACACTCGGGGGAAAAGCATGATGTTTGCAGGGAGTGTGGGTGAGGTTTTGGCCAGAAGTCAAATCTCACCAGATATCAGAGGACACACACAAATGAGAAGCCTTGTATTTGCAGGTAATGTGGGTGAAGCTTTTGTGACAAGTCAACCCTTATTGTACATGAGAGGACACACTCAGGAGAGAAGCCTTACGTGTGCAGCGAGTGTTGCTGAGGCTTTAGCCAGAAATCACTCCTCCTTGTCCACCAGAGGACACACTCAGGGGAGAAGCATTACGTTTGTAGGGAGTGCGGGCAAGAATTTAGTGTAAGTCAAATTTCATCAGGCACCAGAGGACACACCGATGGGAGAAACTATGTATGCAGGGGTCATGGGCAAGACTTGAGTGATCAGTCAAGCCTCATGTTACCCGAGAGACACGTGGGGAATAGACCCTGTGTATGCAGAATGTGAGTGAAGTTCCAGAGATGTGTCGACCCTTATCTGGCATGGGAGGGATACGTTCAAGAGAGGAGCCTTATGAGTATAGAGTGTGCAAAGAGGATACACTGAGGAGAGAAGTTTCATTTGTGTAGGGACCGTGGGTAAGGCTTTAGCAATAATCAACATTTACCAAACATCCAATGATAGCCTCAGGGGAAGCACCATTGTCTGGGGAATGCTGGTGAGCAAAAGAATGGACAGTCAGGCATAAGATGGCCCTCAGGAAGGAGGTCTTTGCTGCAGGGTGTCTGGGCAAAGCGTTTGTGATCACACACCACAGGGAGAATTGGCATGTGGGGACACTGTGGAGCTCTGCTGAGATGACCTTTTCACGGCTAACAGCTCAGCTGCCTGAGAGAACAGTGTTGCTGCTGGCAGAGATGCCCTCCACTCTGGAACTTGCTCTCAGCCACAGGGAGCTGCACACTCTGGGGGTTTGCATCTTCACAGGGGTAGCTCCTGGCCCCACGCTTGACTCAACTGGGACACCTCCAGAAGGTCATTTCAGATCCGGAAGTCCCAGTTGAACTGAAGGATCACTGGGTTGCAGACACATTGCAGGTCAGCCTCTTCCTCTGCCCAGTCCTGCCCTCACTCCCCAGTGAATCCTCAATTTTCCATCTCATTGTCTCTCCAGAGAATTGATTCTAAGACATGTTAGGTATATAAGGAATGTGGATAAGGCTTCAGCCATGAGTGACCCTTCACTAAACCCCAGAGTATATAGAATAGAAATACCTCCGCATGTGTGGGGAGAATGGACAAGGACTTAGGAAAAAGGTGCACCTCTTCAAAGAACAGCTTTTTTGGGGACAAACTTTACATGGGTGAGGAGGGAAAATGTGAAACACACTAGCAATAAGTTAAACCTCATCTTGTACTAGAGGAGGACACACTCAGGGAGAAGACCTGTGTGGGCAGGCCTTATGGGTGGAGCTTCATCCGATGCCCCTCTTCAGCTGACTTAAGAGGACTATCTTACCACCCCAAGTCACTACCTCATTCACCTCTGAGGGGTTTTCAGGAGATGTCTTGACTCCACCGTGTACTCTGTATGTGAGCAAAGATGGCAATAACTGTTAACCCTTTTTTCTACTTCTTGGAATCAGATGGAATAAAAAAGGCTTGCCTATGCCCCAAAGGGTTATTCCTGTTTGCCTGGTGACTGTGGACCAACTCTGGCCTGCACAACCTTCCCCTTCAAAACTTTTCTGCTGTCCAGTAGGCTGCAACCACATCTCCAATAAGGACTGAACCCTAGCCTTGGGTAGGGAATCCTCCTTCCAAGTTTATCCTTGGGTAATCCCCCTCAGCTGTGGGATTTTTTTTTTCTTAGTATTTATATTTATCTTTGCAAAATATATTTTTTTTTTTTTGAGGCGAAGTTTTGCTCTGTTGCCTAGGCTGGAGTTCAATGTCTTGGCTCACTGCAATCTCTGCTTCCTGGGTTCAAGTGATTCTCCCTGCCTCAGCCTCCTGAGTAGCTGGAATTATAGGCGCCTGCTACCATGCCCAGCTAATTTTTGTATTTTTAGTAGAGATGGGGTTTTACCATGTTGGCCAAACTGGTCTGGAACTCCTGACCACAGGTGATCTGCCCACCTCAGTCTCCCAAGGTGCTGAGATTACAGGGGTGAGCCACCATGCCTGGCAAAATAATTCTTTAAATTACTGTATGGTTTCTGTCTCCTTGTCAAACCCAGATTGATACAGGTGTGAACGTATATGTGTGTGTTTTTAAAATGAGGGCAAAGACATGAATTTTGACTGCATTTATTTAGTAAGCCCAGAGATAAGCCAAGGAAGTAATGCAGGTCAAAACTATTAATTATGAATTCCCAACTGAGGCTGTGACCTTGAATCTAGACACAGAAATCTAATGGTCTATATCAGAAGTTGGCAAACTACAGCCTAAATGCCAACCCTTGCTGATCACATGTTTTTGTGTGGCCTTGAGCTAAGAATAGTCTTTACATTTTAAAGGGTTGCAAAGAATTTAAAGAACAATATCTTGTGACATATGTTTGTATACATAAATAACATTTTATTGGAACCCAACCACACTCATTTGCTAGGTATTGTCTATAGCTGCTTCCATGCTACGTGGTAAAGCTCAGTAACTGCAACAGAGTCCAAATGGCTTGCCAACTCTAAAATGCTCTCTGGTCCTTAACAAAAAATGTATTGGAAACTAACTAGTCTTAAACATATTTTTAAAAACTTTGCCCAATTTTGATCTAGACTGAAACTTGGGACCATTTTATCAAGTAAAGGCCAAATGAATTCCCTGTTTAATCCCCTGCTCTGAATTCATGATCCTTTTTTCCTTATTTGTAGAAATTGGCAAACTAATTGAGTTACAAGGGATCGAGACTAGCCAAAACAATCTCGAAAAAGAAAAAGGAGGAGGATTCATACTTTCTGACTTCAAAACTTAATATAAAGCAAATGGTAATCAGGATAGTGTAATACTGGCATAAGGATACTCATATAGATCAATGGAATAGAATTGGAAGTCTAGAAATAAAACCATGTGTCCATGGTCAACTGATTTTCCACCAGGGTGCCAAGATTATTCAGTGGGGGAAAGAAGAGTCTTTTTAACAAATGATGCTGAAACAACTGTATATCTACTTACAAAAGAATTAATTTGACTCTACCTTATACCATATACAAAATATTAACTAAAAATATATAAAAAATCTAAATGTAAGAGCTAAACTTATAAAACTATTAGAAGAAAACAAAGGGGCAAATCTTCATGATCATAGATTTGGCAAAAAAGATTTTTCTTATTGCACCAAAAACATAAGCAACAATGATAACAAAAAGATAAATTAGCCTTCATCCAAATTAAAAACTTTTGTACAGGATATTATCAAGAAAGTGAAAAGGACAGGCATGGTGGCTCATGCCTGTAATCCCAGCAGTTTGGGAGGCTAAGGAGGGTGGAATGCTTGAACCCAGGAGTTCAAGATTAGCCTGGGCAACAGGGCAAAACCCTGTCCCTACAAAAAAAAATACAAAAATTAGCCAGGGTGGTGTCATGCAACTGTAGTCCTCGCTACTCAAAAGGCTGAGGTGGGAGAATCACTTGAACACAGGAGGTCAAGGCCGTAGTGAGCCGTGATTGCATCATGGCACTCCAGCCTGGGTGATGGGGAGAGACTCTGTCTCAAAAAAAAAAAAAAAACAAAAAACAAAAACCAGAATGGGAGAAAATGTGTATAAATCACATATCTGGCAAAGAACTTGTATCTGCAATGTAGAAAGAATTCTTACAACTCAATAATAAAAGGCAAATGGTCCAATTAAAAAATGAGCAAAGGATCTGAGTGGCCATTTCTCCAAGGATGATATATAAATGCCCAAAAAGCACATGAAAAGATGTTCAACATCATTAGTCATGAGAGAAATGCAAATCAAAACCATGATGAAGTTGATAGCACTTCAAATTCATTAAGGTGGCTTGAATCAAAAAGTCAGATAATAACAAATATGGGTGAAGATTTGGAGCAATCAGAATCCTCATATCTACTTGTGGGAATGTATAATGGTGAAGCCACTTTTGAAAATAGTCTGGCAGTTCCTCAAATGATTAATCAGAATTATCATATGACTCAGAAATTCCACTCCTAGCTAGATACCCAAGAAAAATAAAAACATGTCCACATGAAAACCTGTACACGAATGTTTACAGCAGCATTATTTGTAATAGCCAAAAGGTGGAAACAATCTAAATGTTCATCATTTGATGAACTGATAAACAAAATGTGGTAGTCTCCTCCTTATCTGAGGAGGTTATATTCCAAGATCCCCAGTGGATTCGTGGAACCACAGATACTACCAAACCCTATATATACTATTTTCTCCTATACATATATAGCTATAATAAAGTTTAATTTATAAATTGGGCAGAGTAAGAGATTAACAATAATACTAATAGAACAGTTATAAAAATACACTGTAATAAAAGTTATGAATGTGGTCTCTCAAAGTATCTTGTGCTGTACTCACCTACTTTTGTAACTGAAACCACAGAAAGTGAAACAAGGCTATGGGGGGACTACTGTACATCCACACAGTGGAATATTATTTGGCCCTAAAAAGGAATGAAGTACTGATACATGTCATGACATGGATGAGCCTTAAAAATATTGTGCTAAGTGAAAGAAAGTAGTCACAAAAGACCACATATTATTATATTATTCCCTTTATATAAATTTTCCTTTTCTTTTGTTTTTTGAGATAGAATCTTGCTCTGTCACCGAGGCTGGAGTGCAGTGGCATGATCTTGGCTTACTGCAACCTCTGCCTCACAGGTTCAAGCGATTCTCCTGCCTCAGCTTCCTGAGTACCTGGGACTATAGGCATGTGCCACCATGCCCGGCTAATTTTTTGTTTTTTTAGTAGACATGGGATTTCACCTTGTTAGCCAGGATGGTCTTGATCTCCTGACCTTGTGATCCACCCACCTCGGCCTCCCAAAGTGCTGGGATTGCAGGTGTGAGCCTGCAATATAAATATAAATATAATATTAGTATAAATATATATTTATAAATATAAATATTTATATTTATATATAAATATAAAGCGCCCAGCCTATTCCCTTTATATGAATTTTCTAGAATGTCCTTCGTAATATTCATCCTTCAGATAGACCTGAGTGTAGGTTCAGGTCTCTGCTCACATAACACTCCTCAGAGAAGTTTTCCCTGACCACCTAGCCAAAATTGTACCCCACCCTCACAGTCCTCTGCCTTTATTTTTTTCATGTCACTCTAATGTTACATTGCATACTTATTTACTTGGTTTACTATCTGCGTTTCTCACTAGAATGTACAGCTCAGTGAGGGAAAGGACTCTATCCCAATAACAGTGCTTGGCCTTAGTAGGTGCTAAATAAAAATTATTTTTAATGCATGCATGAATGATATGTTAGGCATCTGGGTAAGGTGGGGGCAGATGAACAGCTGAGGAGCCAGATGAACCTATATTCCCACTCTGACTCTTCTACCTTGGGCAACATAATTCATTTCTATGAGGCTTCACCTCTTCATCTACAGGTGACAGAAACAGGACAACAGAACATACCTCTTAGATGGTGTGAAGGTGACAAAGCCCAAGGTGGAAGCTTTCCTTGCTGGGTTTGAGGAACAGGAGATTAGTGTAACTGGAGAATGATGAATGAGGGGAATGTTGAAGGACCTGAGTGAGGTTGGAGAGGAATGCAGAGCTGGATTTTATTCCATGTGTGCTGGGAAGTTTTGGGGAAGTAGAGACCAGGGCATGACATCATCTGATATCCCAGTACATTTAGAAGGATCCCTCTGGCTGCTGTAAGAACAAGAAAGGAAGTGAAGAGACAAGTTAAGGGTTGTTCAATGATCCAAGACAGAGATGATGGTGGCTATGACTAGGGTGGAAGCAGTGGAGTGGGTGACAACAGTCATATTCAAGATAATTTGAAGGTAGGGGCCACAGGATTTGCTGACGAATTTGATTATTTGATGGCAGAGAAAGAGAAGAATGAAGTATGCTTCAAGTTTGTAATTTTCTTTTCTTTTTTAATCCAAGAAACATCAGGGATGGGGAACACTGGTGAAGTGGTTTTGGAAAG